ATTATTATTTCCCCAAAAAGGGTTATTCCAATAAACGGGATACTTCTTGTCTCTTTTCTCTAGCAAAGAGCACTACAGACCACTGCGTTATTGTTTAGGAGGCAGATCTGAACTGCTCAGCCTTTCACTGCTGCTATGCCCAGAGTTTGCAAAACAGCCTCAGAACATAATGCCTGGAGCCACCTTTAACAGACAAAAAGAGGGAAATTTGCTGCCTTCTGCAGTCATGTTATGATGTGACTGTTTGGGGCTGGTATCAGCCTCTAGCTGTACCAGCAGCTGTTTCACATAGGAAAGCATATGCAGAAAAAACAAGGACAGGAAGGTTTCAAATGGGAAAAGGACGACATGCCTGCAATAATCCAACATGGAAGAGGATGAACTGCAGAAAGCCAAATTCTGGGCATGACCAGACTGTGCTTCAAACCCCCTTGTTGTGAAAGCTGAAGCAAGCAGCGTGCTGTTAACTCATGAGATGCAGAGCACCAAGGTATAAAATAGCAAATCCCCCAGCACAACTTTGAAACCCTTCCACGTGCCTTCATATGGATGCAAAACAATGCAGAACACCATATTCCTCAGTATTTGGGAAAAAATGTTGTGGATGCCAGTCTCAGGTGACCTTTTGCTACCCTGGGTATGGTCACTGGTCCTGTTCCAGGTGTGGAGCCTCTCATTGGCCTCACCATGGCAGTAAACATTAAGTCTAAGCTTGGAAATACTGAGTTTTTGGTTTAAAAAAGAGCCATGCCATATTAAAAAAAAATATTGTAACTGTATTCCATATGTATCATTTTTTTCATAGTGATATTTCAGTTTATCTGGACAGTTTATATGACCCATTCCACAGGAGGTGTGTTTTCAGAAAACAACTGAACAATTAAAATATACTGAAATTTCCTAAGATAAGAAGAAGCTGTGTTTCTTTTATCAAAGTGTACAGAGATGTTATAAAACACCTGTAGTCCAAAGGCAGAAATAATATTTTATTTTTCTCTTGCAAAGATCTAATTCTCATGTCAACAGAAAACTGTTGACAAGTCCTATATTGACAAAACACAGACTAAGGAACTTAATATTGTTTTATCAAATGAAAACTGGACCAAGATAAACAACAGCAAATTAATCTCTTCTTTGCCCAGTTTGCCTCTATACATTTCAGATGAAAATCATAAATAAGAGTTTTTTAGACTCCACAAAGCCTCTACCACAGCTCTTCTGAAAGCCCTGCCCCACATACATAATGTTTGTGACAAAAATTCTCTCTTGAGCATCTGAAACTGTAATTTAATTCTTACTTCTACAGTATCATTTTTACTATCTTTGCATATGCCCTGCTCTACCAATTGCACACTGGCAAAATAAAAACCTGAAAGGAAGCTGACACATTTATGGGATAGGCACCCACTTCAGACTTAAGGGCTCTCTTGGAAAAGTGTTTTGATTCTTTAGATGCTGATGCTTCTTTATTTGCCTTCCAGATAACAGTCTTTGCACCCTGGAAGCATTATTCGCATTTCACATTTCTCATTGTCTATCAATTACTGTAGGACTGAAGCACCCATGGGATGGGATGCGCTCAGCACTATCCTCACTCATGGGCAAGAATGAAGTAACCAAGGTGAGGTATCTCTTGCCGCCTTCCTCTTGACAGTAGATCCTTCTTGCAGCAGCTGGTCTTGGCTCCCCCAGGGACTTGCAGCAATAGGGAGCATGCTTACCTTGACATTTGAAGTTCTCCCTGAATTCTCCTCTCCAGCCTACCTCCTTGTTTGCACCTGGGGATGGTAGCGGTTGTACCATCCCTTCCAGAAGAACCCACATCTGGGATTTTCAAAGCTCCATCTCTTCATGCTCTGAAACCTCGGGGTCTCTGCCCATGCCCCCTCCAACGATGCTTTGCTGCCAAGTAGTTAATTTTGCTTCCTGACCTCAGGAACCATGAGCCGGCATTAGAGACAGATGACCTACCAGAGTTAATTCATGTCACTCAATAAGAATTGCATTTGTGGCTGAAATGGCCCTGAGGGCCTTGTCCAAAGAACAGAGTAATTTAAAAGGCTCCCATTGAGTTCAGTAGGCATTGGTTCAGGATGATTAAAGAGGTAGCTCTGATGATTTCTAAGGCAAATGAGCCTTTAGAAACTTTGACTTTGTTTGTCTTCACACTTATGTATAGAGTACAGTTACACTGAGACCTGGCACCTTCCACTTATTTTTAACAGAGCTGTCTAGAGATCAAGGAAATGCAGGTGATGACCTCAGACTTCATCATTAGAATTCATCATTGAGGTCAAATGGAAACTGAATTCAGATATGAACAAGCCTATGTAAGATACAACAAAAGGCTGAGAATTTATCCTCCTTAGATACTACATTCCTAAAGAACAAAACTGCTACCCAGTCAAAAGACAGTATTTATGTACTAAGAGTGACTGTGTTTAACTCCAGCTGTACATACCTGCTGTCTGCTAAGAACACAGAAACCTAATTTCATTTCTGTGCGCGTTATTTGACTTAAATCAAACCCCAAACCCCCACCACACCTAAAGCAATTGCAAACTATAGGCTGTGCCTGTAGTCACAGCACAGTTATCACCCTGGGGACATGCTTTAGCCAGACATCATGCTGCAACTAGTTGTGTGAGAATTGTTGAAATCTTTCCTGTTTAAAGTCTATAAGGGGTATCACTGACTAAATACATTGCAAGCACTGTCTGGGCTCTTCAGGAACAATGAATTATTCTGGTGGTGGTTTTTCCATAGTGAGGGGCACAGCATTCCCAGAACAGCACAGCTACAGAAGCAGAAAACAACTCAGAGCTCTTTTTAATGTGGTAGTTTGAGGAATATGTATTCCCCTACCATACACAGAGCAACTGCACTTAATCTGTCATGTTTGTTTACATTTCCCCATTAACTAAACACAAGGTGGGATAGGCTGGTCTTTCTGCAGATGATTTGATTCTTTATGTCTGTCTGATGGGCAGAAGTTCACCACTCTATGGAACATAAACCCACCTTTCCACATTTCTTACTCCTTCTTTTCTCCCATAAAGCTTCACAAAACTGTAGAGCATCCAACAAATTCTGGGTTTTCTGCCACTTTACATGAACAGAAGCAAGCAGAAATCCATGAACAAGCCTGCCACTGCTTACACAGATACTTGCTTTATGGGCAGAAGATCGGGAATGAGTATTCATACAATCCCAGCCTGGTTTGGGTTGGAAGGGACCTCAAAGCTCTTTCAGCTCCAACCCCTGCCATGGGGGCATGGACCCCTTCCACTGGAGCAGCTTGCTCCAAGCCCCTGTGTCCAACCTGGCCTTGAACACTGCCAGGGATGGGGCAGCCACAGCTTCTCTGGGCACCCTGTGCCAGCGCCTCAGCACCCTCACAGGGAAGAGCTTCTGCCTAAGAGCTCAGCTCAGTCTCCCCCCGGCAGTATTGTGGAAGGATGGACCATGTCTGTAGAAGTGCTTGTCCTACAACGGCTATCGCAGGTTGTGCCTGCTGGGACGCTGGTCTTGGCTTTGCCATTGGAAATCACAATCAGCAGAGAAGGCAGATGTTCTGCGTTCTGAGATTGCTCAATGAGATCCATTAAATATCACTACAGTATGGACATGCAGCTGTGCAGTTATGTTTAAACAGAGTAGCACACCAGGTGAAGAACTACAACACACACTTTATTTTCCATCCAATCCTCCTTTTTTTACCTTTTTTTTTTAATTATTTTTTTTTATTGAACTTGACACTTTTCCTGTCCTGCTTACCAGGTGATTTGCTGCCAAAGCCTTTACTAGGTTTTCCAAACCTGCCTGAAAACATCTTAAATGCAAATTTGAAAAAGACATACTGACAATTTACTTTTGGGCTTTTTTTGTAACCTAACAATTTGAGAATAGTTTTTATCTATTCAAACCTGACATTTTCAATTTGAGTCATACCAAGAAAACCAGCTGTTTTATTTTTTATTCTATAATCTGTATGCTTCTATTTCTTTTAGCAAATCATATGCTGAAATCAGAGAGCGAATTTCCAATGTGCTACCTTGCTGTGAGACTACATGTGCTACCTGGTACAAAGTTGAATCCTAGTGATTAAATATGCCCTGGGTGCCCTACAGGGATGCTCCAGGTTGAAGTAAAGCCAATGAAAGGGTGTAAAATTGACTTTGATCTTCTAGATAACTCTTTCTTGTCTTTCCCCAGGAATTATTTATTTCTGGTTATTCAACTCCCTAAGCTGGAGTAAGATGGCACCTGCTGTTGAGCCAGGGGTTTGAGGTTTACACCTTGATTTGCCTTTTAAACTAGTGGAAAATGAGAGTACAAATCCAAATAAACTTTCCAAGCTCAGTCCTGAACTTTCCTAATGTCAGTGTGGTTGTTTCCTTGGGCAGATGTCACATAAATGCACAGTGCTCTAGCTGTAATTGAAAGAAATAAAAGGGAAAGAAACCCTAGCAACAGACTTCACAAGTATTGAAAGGTAGGAGCAGAGAAACTTTGAGTAATCAAACATATATGCATATTTGGAAAATGTAATGATAATGCCTTGAAAAGTTGACTAGACTTTGCTACTATTAAATAGGAGCTGCTGGTTTGAAAGAAAAGATGATATATCGTTTATCACTGTAAGGCTTTTGAACTCTAATCTATAACCCACGAAAGGGTGCAAGAAGAGCCTGGAAATTATGCTGAGCTTAATTATACTTAATGTGAATTATTCAGAAGTGCAGCAGAGACTAAAAATTTATTTCATACAAAGAAGCCTGACATTTTAATTGGTCCTTCAGAAAAGAGACAAAACAATTTCCTCTCCTGAAAATTTACATCTTCCCCATCAAAGCAGCAGCCTCAGCCAAGCAGAACTTCATTAACAAGATTAATTATCACGCCGGCGTCTGCCTCATCAGGTGTGCAGCGCAGGTGAAAAGCGCGGCCCCGTCCCCAGCGCGGCCCCGAGGAAAGGCGAGAGATTGAGGGCACCGTACCTTGGTCATTAGCCATTTTGTCAGGGTGCTCCACTGCAAGAAAGAGACAATGTCATTAGAGGCTGACAGCTCCTCGCAGGCAAGCAGACACATCGCATCAACTATTAGTGTTAGCAGGCTGGTGCTGCCTTCCCGCACTGGGGACTGATGGTGCAGGAGGGCAGGATGAGTTTTACCCTTCCATTTTCCCAAGAGATCCTGGAGAACTGAGAGGACAAACACAGGATCATAGAATCACAGAGGTCCTTCAGTTAGAAGGGACCCAAAAACATTGTCGAGTCCAACTCTCTGGTCCTCGCAGGGCTACCTAAAGCTAGACCATATGGCTAAGAGAAACATTCAAATGCTCCTGGAACACTGAACCAAGGTTGCAGCATGAGTTATAGCAAACATACAACCACAGAATCATAGAATAGTTAGGGTTGGAAAGGACCTCAAGATCATCAAGTTCCAATCCCCTGCCATGGGCAGGGCCACCTCACAGTAAACCATGTTATCCAAGGCCTCGTCCAACCTGGCCTTGAACACTGCCAGGGATGGAACATTCACAACTTCCCTGAGCAACCCATTCCAGTGCCTCACCACCCTAACAGTAAAGAATTTCCTCCTTATATCCAATATAAACTTCCCCTGTTTAAGTTTTAACCCATTACCCCTTGTCCTATCACTACAGTCCCTAACAAAGAGTCCCTCTCCAGCATTCTTATAGGCCCAGTGTTCATAGAGTAATAGAATGGTTTGGGTTGGAAGAGAATTTGAAGCCCATCCTGTTCCAACCCCCCTGCCATGGGCAGGGATATCTCCCACTAGACCAGGTTGCTCCAAGAACCAGTTCAAACTGACTGTTTTCACAAAGTTCTTCCACATGTGAATCCTTTACTATATCATTTTTTAATTCTCTTGTTCTCTCTCTTTTTTTTTTTTTTTTTTTTGTATAATCTGGAAAGTTTAATCAAGCAAGAAGGAAAAGGGAGAGAGACACTGCCTCTTTAAATAATTACAGTCAAACCACCTACAAGCTAAAAGCTTGGTCTGACATTATTATTCTTTCAGCTTTTTACAAAGCGGTTTAAAACTATTTACATGTTTTTGCATAATAACCATAAAAGATAGCGTGAAGTGCACCAGACAAGACTTCAAAATTCAATAGATATATTAAAAGCTTTCCTGCACAGCTACAACTTCTGACTATTTATGATATGGCTGAGGGAATTAAACTTTCCTCTGATTCATAAGTAGCTACTATCGTAGAGCATTAACCAGTCCTCTGCTTAATAAATTATGCAAGAATCTTAAGTACAGGAAATTGGGGGGAAAAGAAGTGATTTTGTACATGAATCTGGAAGTCAAATAACCACTGCCTGCAGGTGCAGGGCATGCTGCTCCCCTCGCTGCTAAAATCACTACAAAACCTCCCCTAGACCATGGCATCGTGCTAGGAACAAATGGAGGTACTGAAGTAGGAGTAATTTGCATTTAAAGACACATCCAGGAGCTCAGTGCCTGCGGCAGAGAGGGAATAGCTCCTTTGATGACCCCCAAAACCTCAAGTAATTTTTTTAATCGTCTCTCAGGGATGCAGAGAAGCCGGGTATATGGTGCATATTGACTCAAACTGTCTAGAAACCTGTGCACCTGTGCTTCCCCACGGAGCCATACCTGGGTTATCACCATTCCCTTAGGACAAATATATTCACAAAAACATGAAACCTTGCTTGTGAGTGCGGTTACCTCCATCTGAGCATGAATGCCTCTTACATGCTGCCCTGGCTCCTTCTCCATGTAATAGAGGAGGTGAAACCTGTGACACCTCTAGTGCCATGAGATGCCGCACGCCTGATGGCTAATGTTGGCTTCCAGCAGGTCCTGGGGGCTCAAGTTTTGGAGTGGTTATGAACTAGGAAGTGCTGTTGGACTACGATGCTGAGACAGCATTAGAGGGCACTGCAGTGCTAGAAATGCTGCCCCACACCATCCTTTCCAAAAAGGGGAGTAAAGTAGCGGGATCGGCATCACCTGCCACTTCAGGGCTCTTCTAGAAATGGTGCAGCGGCAACTTTAAATCTGGTGTCCTGTAGAAAGCCAAGGAATACCATTTTCCTTGTTGATCTTAGCACAATGGGAGTATCTGAGAGTACTGTGAAGCTCTTAACTACTTCTTTGTCTCTCTCCCTTTCCATCCTTCCCCTTCCAAACACATCTGATCCAGTGCTTTGTCCATGCTTGATGTTATGTCTATCGGTGCATTAACAGGCGACTTTTTTCAATTTTAGATGTGTTGATGTAATGCTTTGTCAGATTCTGATAACCACTCCCTCATTGTCATTTATTAAAGGAGTCAGCACACAAGTAAAGTCTGTTTGTAAATGGTGGCCAAAATTCGGAATACATGGGGCTGAGGAAGCCTAAACACATTAGTAAGTTTAGTTCTAAAATCTGCTTGTTTCCGTAGCAGATGAAAAAGCAAGTTGCTGACAAGTTATTTAAAAGATCAAGGAAATCCTCCTCCCCATCTCCCAGTTCATTCACGCACTCTTCAGTTGCCATGTTTCATTGGGCAGTTGCAGTAACATTTCAGACTGTGTATTTACTTCTGCAAATTAATGAATTTCTGAAAATCATTCCTACATATGCCATAAAATTACTATAACATGGAGACTTGGACTTGATAACATCAGGGCAATCTGGGAAAATAACCCTGCGTTGCACAAAATGCACATACTATTTGGGCACTGTCTGCTTCTCTTCCTTAAACACATATAAATATATATGTATGCATAATATTTACTGAAGTCATCTAGACTCAGGAAGCAATAAGAAAAATCCTAGTAACAATCCCAAATTCCGGCCCAAACTATATAACAATGAAAAGGAGAGACGTTCGATCGCGTTTCAGCCTTCTATTCCAGGTCCCTAAGAATGTGTGTATCAAATTCTTCACAATTTAAGTGATAAATTTAACCAGCCAGAGCATAAAACCAGCAGATTCTTAACTCATGAAAGCTGTCAGAGACTGATTGAAGTGCACAGTGTAACAGCAATTTACATAACCTCAGGATTTGCCCATTTTTGTCTATATTATCATCAGTGAAGATGAGGTGGAGGAATATAAACTCACTACTCCATGGTAGTGTTGTTTACTAGTAAACATATCTCTTTCTCACAGATCACTACATTTTCATTAGTAAAGGAAAGTCACTACAAATACCCTCATTGCAATTACAACACAAGTAATAGCTTGGTTTTCTTGCAGGAGCTTTAAGTGCTATAACGTATGAAACGAGACAGTGGGTGACTTAGTGGATCTTTGATGCCTGTTTAGCTCCTCGTGATCTAAAACTTCCTCTGATCAGGACATAGATTTGCCATCAGAACACACATAACCATATGGCTCTTACATAGCTTCTGTTAATAACCATTATAGGTAGGAAACCAACATTTCTGCATAATTCAGAATGCACTCAAGACTTCAGAAAGTCTTTTCACCTCAAGTGTAGGGATAAATTTGTCAAAAAAACAGTTGAATAGTATTGAACATGACATATTTAGGATGGATATCATTAAGTATTCATGGCAGGGTATTAGACATAGTCCTTGTAGGCTATTACAAGATGTAACAAATGTATAAATTCATCTTTTCAGTATCTGTTGATGCTGTCTGATCCAGAATTCATTTCCCAAATGAGTTTCATGGTACTTTGTGTAAACATTACAAAGCAGGTGATATCAAATGCATTAATCTTTTGGTTTAGTTAGATATCCGGGTCTCTCTATCTTTTCATATCTCATTACGCTGTGCTTATTATATTTTGATGCCTTGTCTCATTTTAAGCTCAGTCTAATAGACTTCTGCTTGGCACAAATTGTGAGCATGAAATTAAGTTGGCACCATCCCCTTGATAGAGATGAAGCACCCGCAAAGTGCTATCTCTTTGCATTTCTTGGCAGTACAGAATCAATAATCAGGATCTTACCAATAATTCATTCGGAGTGAAACATGACTTGGACACGTAAGTCCTGCAAACCTGGGCAGGCGATGATAAGCTCAGTATAAATTGACACAATTTTTCTCTTTTCTGATTCTCTGCCTACTGCATGGAAACAGTTGTATGAGGCTTTTCACTCCTATTCGACTGTCAATAGTGTGCTTTAGAGACATTGATATCACTGATAGTGAAGGAAAAAGGGCAAGCTCTCTGCCTGTGTGGCTGTGGACACTGGCTCATTCATCAAAAGCCTTTCTTAAAGGCTGAAAAATGGAGTTTCCCCTCCTTCCCTCAAAGGCAGGGCAAAAATTTGCTATTCACATGAAGGTTTGCTGACAGAGAATTCAAATACAATCTCCCACTAACCAAAGGGAATGATATAGGGATGGTGTGGCACCCCTTTCTCTGCAGCCACTTTGCTTAGTAGAGCTCACATTAAATGAAGTCACTTAAGGCTGATTGAAAAAAGGCCCGAGTGTGAGTGCTAATTCCAAGCCTCTCCAGCAAGGTTTGGATCTGGATTTCCTTAATTTCCCTCCAGTTATGGATTCTCAGGCCCAGTCTGTGTCCTGTTTCAATTGTCTTCTGCTATGTTGTTATTTTTACAGGCAAATGCCAGGATTTTCTGCAGAGAAGGCACAGCAATAACGTGCTCTCTCGTATGCCATGGTTCCTTCCTGTTTGTGTCATTTGCATTTTTCATTAATTATACATCTTTTTAAGAAGTAATTTCATACCTTTGTGCAAATGATTGAATGACAGTTAAAATAGAAGGAGCAGAGCTGCCTCAAGCACCCTGCTTCCCACTAACTGTAATATTGCTTACATCTTCATAACTAATAATTATTGGGTAGATCATGTCAGGGCTTCACGCAGACAGACAGTGGAGAAGAGAGCAGAGGAATCTCTCTCTGTGCTGATTTGAAATTGAATCTGATATAAGTGCAGTCCTTTGCTCTCATGAACATTTTGGCACTGGAATACCAGGAAAATAAAGGGTGCCCCTGTTTTGCCTGCTCCTCCTCACCGGTCACTTACAGAGAAGGGTAAAGCACTGATTAGTCTGTTGCTAATGAAATCTACTGAAAAATATCTGGAATAACTTTCCCCATACAAAGGCAAGCTGCATCTCAGCTTGCTGAGATTTCTAATCATGATTGTGCGTGCCTGCTTTGTTGATAGGAGTGAGTCGTTACAGGTTCCTACAGTCACCAAAGGATCCAAAAGGAATAGGGACCTCCCTAGAGAAATTCAGTCAAATCCAATTAGTTTTGTTATTGCTGGTGGGAAGTTAGGTGGTGTCAGAGTGCTGAATTTAGAAATATAGTTACCACCTCATTATGTGGTTTACTTTCGTCAAGTACTGTACCTAGCGTTTTGCTTTTATCTCTCAGAAACAATTTCAAGTAGTACTGTCTCTTCTGGCTGAAGTGGCATTAATTGCAAAACTCCCACAGAAACATCAGAGAATTCTGTGTGCCATTACTATCCCGATGACACAGATCCAAACCTTTCAGCGTCCGGAAGAAAGTAGGATCAGAGAGGGGCCCCACTCCCTTGGCGTTGCGAGCTTGGATTCTGAAGTAGTAGACAGTGTCCAGGTTGAGATCCATGACCTGGTGGGTGAGCCGGTCACCGCTGATGGACTCCATAACCCAGTCATCAATGGGAGCATTCTTGTCCAAAGTGTAGAAGAGGATGTAAGCTGAAGAAACACAACCTCTCAGTTAGCACTTCACCAAATTTTAAAGTGCTTCTTTTACAAAATACAGGTAAAATCCAGATTTCTTAAAAATCTGGCTTTTCTCTTTAAAAGCAGGGATGTCAGGCCTCCAGTCTATTTTGCTTTGAGCAAAGTTACAAAAACGCACATTAGTTTATTTTTAGAACAAAACCACAGCTACGGTATTCACTGCAAGAAATACAGATTTAGCAAACATAAAAATAGCTAGCATTCATTAACAGGCTGTTACAAGCTCATTTCTCAAATTCAGGTGAAATTTGAGATATCATTCTGTCTGATAGCTTCCATAAACCACACAATACAAGGCTTTAGTGTTTCCATCCTGAAATAAAATCATACGGCATTAATGACACACATTAAATGACAGGGTGCTTACGGGAAGCCATGCAATATTTCTTTTCAGCTATAGGGGAAAGTATTTTGGGAAAGAAATAGAGAACTAAAATTTTTGGTAGCTCAAAATTTTGGTATCTTAAAGTAGCACAATAACTACTTTCCACTGAATAAAACGAAAGTTTCAGAACTTAGAGACCACAAGCACCAGCATTAGGATATTATTATAGTTTATAGGAACTACTTTGCCTGCAAATGAACTTCTGGGAAGAAGAAAAAAGCCTGTAATCAGGGCTGAGAGGCCTAGAGCACCCTGCAACTATGCAACCCTGCTTCATATGCCTAAGAAACGTTTGACCACACACTCAGCAAAAAATTCCCTTGAGAGACATTCTGCAACCTAGTGCTAGAAGAAACAAGCTCGTGCATGGATGCCAGGGGATCCAGTCTGGCCTCAGGTCTAAATGCTGCTGCTGCTGATGGAAAAGCTCTATAAAAGTTGCTACCATGGAGTAATTTCATGCCTTGGAAATCAGGAAAGCTTGTGTTTTATTTTGTCTTTTACTCACTGGGGAATCAGGACTATTAGCGCTCATTTGGGTGTGCTGTCCATCAGACTGGTCATGTCTTCTCTCTAATGGCTAAATTAGGTTAGTGTAAACAAGGGCATTTCACCAAAACATCCTCCTTTTGGACATGGTCACGGATTGTAAAGTCCTGATGATAATGTGGAGCGAAATTATACACAGTTATGCAAGTCTGGCCTAGGAATTGTTATTGCAGAGTGATGTCCACATGGAAATACATCCTTATTTTTACTGATAACATAAAGTGGGTTACTTTCCTGGTGTAACTCACAACAGCTCATCTGATGCCAGTAAGGCCCTGCTGAGTTACAACTGTTAAAAGCTTATGCAGGGCTCTTCACTGCTAATGGCTCACATGGGACATCGTTCTGAAGTGTTCCTCCTCTTGCATTTATATCCCTCAATGCTTCAGCAGTGTGTTACTGGGATTATGAGCAGTAACAGTGACATTTTCATTCTCCCACACAAAAATATGTTGTAGAACAAGTCCAACCCAATTGTTAGTAGTAATGTGACCATAATGTGCGCGTTATTGAAGGTGGGCAATAATTCTCCTAATAATTATATGGCTCTGAGATGTCTGTTAACAGCCCAAAATGATTAGTGACAAGCAAAATCTCAGATAGAACTCTACTGTATTTTTCAAACTAAATTAACATTAAAAGTTTGTAATGAATTTCTTAATTAGACACTAAGGTTACATGAAGTGTTTTGGAAAATAAAATCTGTCATTGTGAAGCATCTGTTCAGTTCAGTTCTTATCAGTCAATATTAGGGTTTTTCCTGATCATCATTGCCTTAAATAGTTACTGTAAAATTAGATATCTACCAATAAATTCTCCCATGATGTGCTGCACTGAGCAACCTATTATTACGTGTATTATGCATTGCACTCTTGACAAACAAAATACTAATTACTAGTCATTTCTAATTATAATTGAGCAGCATGAACCACAAAACCTTCACTTCAGGTGCTCCATTTTTTAACTTATGTTACTGCTTTTAGCATTTAAAAATATAGATTTACGTCCCAAGTTCTAGATCTTACAGTATCCCTAACATTCCCTTGAACCCTAAACCAAGTTGGCTGATGAAAGTAAAAGGAAATAAAGCATCATCAGATCAAAAAGCACCCAAGAAAAAAGAGTTAATGAGCGAAAGCATAAAACACTCAGAATGGTAAATAAATGGAGAAGATAGATAATTTAAACATTTACCAGTGATTTTTCCATTGGCTTCCAACGGTGGCTGCCAGCTGACAATGACAGTCCGGGGTTTCCCTTCCCGTGTAATGACTGTCAAATCCTTGGGAGCAGAGGTTGGAGCTGAAAATAATGGAAATAATACATAATGGAAGCTATTCACCTTCTTCTGAATTCCTTACACACCATAGCAGCCATGAGCTATCGTTCATCTATTATAGGCATCTACTGCTTTCTTAGATCCTTCCAAATGTGAGTGTCCTTAGATGCATTTCAAACATGTAACATATGGTTTGTCTAGAAGTGAGATTTTAACAGCAGTAATTGCACAAAACACTGCATGTGGGAATGTTAGGATTTGGCAGATAGCACTTATTCTCTACCGAGACATCCAGGAACACCTAACATAGTCTGGGAACACTATGCACTTAAAACCAGTGATAATACTGTGGCTTCTCTATTAGAAAAAATTGTAGGTATGTACCAGTATAAACCAAACATAATTGTGTTTATTTGCTAAACATATCTCATCTTGGGACATTTTAGATATGATAGAAAACTCCTAGTTTTTCTGTTCAAAGTCTATTAAAGACACCAGGTTGGATTTCTGAGCCTACAGTATCTACTTTGCATTCTGTCTTTCTGATGAAGTTCAGGACGTCTTGCACAGTTATTTTGTAAGGTCAGGACATTGTCACAGATAATTTGTAAGACTGTGGAGGAGAAAGGAAAGAAGGCCAAGTATTAATAAACAGTTAAGAGAGAGGAGTAAATGCATTGGCACTAAGCTCATTGTTCATTTACTTCATTTAATGCTGGCTGTCAATGACCTGGAGCATATAGGGAACATAACGGCACAGGGAACACAGTATACGAGCATCTCATCATCTGTGTGGCCACTAAACAACATTTCTGAATGTTTGAACAACTGCCCTGAAGTCACTTTGTGAGGTAAAGCTTTATAAGATCTGTTGGACTGTGCTGAACTAAACCAGCCCAATCTAAACACAGAGACAAGTCTTCAGGGTGACAAACAACAAGAAGGGAGGAGCCAGCTGCTGTACAGGCTCTGGTCAGAGGGAGTTAATCCCTTTGAAATAACACTCTTTGTTGCAGGTTTATGGTGGACTATCTCTTTGCTATATGTGCTGGAACAACGCTTTCAGTCTGATATGTCCAGAGCCAGCACCAATGGGACTCACTACAGCCTTGTCACATTGGGTGCTCCTCTTTGAAAGCATCTTTCTTAGCCTGAAGAAGGCAAACCAGAACGTAAGTTCTCATGTCTTTGATAAGCCCCTCAGCCCTGGGCGACGCCAAGCATGACATGAGCTAACACAACGCTTGGGAAGGTTGCATTATTGTTATTGTCATTACTGCTGCTGCTGGGGTTTTCTTAAGAGGGACTGTGTTGCACTTAAAGGCTACTTGGCTTGTAGCCAGCTTGGGACATCGGCTCATCAGTTCAAAAAGTGTACTACAATCCTAGTACCATAGAATCCCACACTGGCCTGGGTTACAATGGACCTTGAAGTTCATCCATCTCCAACCCCTGCCATGGGCAGGGACCCCTTCCACTGGAGCAGCTTGCTCCAAGCCCCTGTGTCCAACCTGGCCTTGAGCAATGCCAGGGGTGGGGCAGCCACAGCTTCTCTGGGCACCCTGTGCCAGCGCCTCAGCACCCTCACAGGGAAGAGCTTCTGCCTAAGAGCTCAGCTCAGTCTCCCCTCGGGCAGGTTCAAGCCATTCCCCTTGGCCTGTCCCTACAGGCCCTTGTCCCAAGCCCCTCTCCAGGTTTCCTGTAGCCCCTTTAGGCACAGGAGCTGCTCTAAGGTCTCCCCTTCAGGAGCCTTCTCTTCTCCATCTTGCATGGTCCTGCTTTTTCAGGGAACTGCAAGAAATGACCATTTTCATAAATGAATCTCACTCGAGTTTTAAAGTACAATTTCTCTTGTCTACTTTTGCCAAGCCTATCCTGTGATATTATTTACCTTCACAGAAATTTCTACGGAAGTGAATCCATCTCTTTGTAGGCAAACAGCATTTTCATGTTGAATGCTGTTTCCCTTTCTCTGATATTAACCCTTCTGACATGTTTTCATGAGCTAATTAACCCTTTCCTTTCCTAGATTTTCTGTTATTTTGAGGCTAAACTAGAAAGGCTTGTAAACTGTAGCAAAACCTTTCTGTACTGGTGAGTAAAACATGAACTCTATTGAGCTGCTGAAGTTGAGGTCTTCTTTCAGCAGATTGTGAACATAAGATATCATGAGAAAAATCAAAGCCTTAGATGTTTCCCTTAGCACTTATTAACACCTCTCATATTCATAAGACTTGTGTAGGCTGATCTGGGGATGGAACTTGGCTCTGAGAGTTGCTTCTGAACATTGGGCATAGCAACTCTCCCTAGCCATGGTAATAATCTTGAGTGAATTCTTTGTCGATGCTGATATGTATGCTCTTTAATATCATTACAGGAAATTCAACATGCGGAATGGGTACAAAACAGGCAATAAAGATCAGCAGTGCAGGATGCCGTTAATAAACAGAGCTGCTCTATCAAGCTCAGATAATTGCATTGCAATCACATGGGAAAATGTAAGGACACATATATTCCCTCTTGCTTTCCCTTTGTTATTTAACTGGCGTATACTGTGGCTTTCATTTGAAAAAAAGCCCCACAAATCAATATTTATCGGCAGACCTCATTTGGTATCTGCTGGTTTGTAAAGGCATCTAGAGTGTTTTCAAGATACCAGCCCCCCTTAGAAAATACAGTATGTACTAATTTGGTGTCCAAATGCACATGCTGCTGTCTACAACAGATGAAGAGGAAAAACACCTTCAGCCAAACCACAGCCATTCTTATCTATGGACAAGGGACTGTACAGAGATATATAGGCAACCATCAAGAATGTGGAAAACCTAGTGGTTCCGCAGTATACAGCCTCATGCAGCTCAGTGGTGTAAAAGCTCGACTCAGTGCTTGTCAGGCCACATATGGAATACACTGTTCAGTTTTTTTCCCTGCTATACAAGAAATGATGTGGACAGGCTGGAAAGGGGCCCAGAGAAGGGCCACAAATATGATCTAAGGACTGGGAAGCTGTTTAAGGAAAAGCTGAGAGAGCTTGGTCTGTTCAGCCTGGAGAAAAGGCTTAGGGAGACCTTATGCTATGTGCCAGTACTCAACAGGTGGCTACAAAGAAGACAAAGAGTCCCATTTACAATAAGTCCCATGGAAAAGATGATGGGTGATGGGCACAAGCTACTCTTGGGGAGATTCCAGCTGAACAAAGAAGGACATTTTTCACATGGAAAACAACCAGCCATTGGAATAGTCTCCCTAGGGAAGTGCTGAACTCCTCAACACTGGACACTGTTAAGTTAGGGCTGGACAAGGTGCTGGGTGCAGGGTCTTCCTGTTCCTAGAAAGGTTGGACCAATGTGGTATTATATGATTTTAGGCTGAGAAAGTTGTGGCTGTTCAGCCTGGAGAAGAGAAGGCTGCGTGGAGACCTCATAGCAGCTTTCCAGTATCTGAACAGGGCCTACAAGGATGCTGGCGAGGGACTCTTCATTAGGGGCTGTAGTGATAGGACAAGGGGTAATGGGTTAAAACTTAAACAGGGGAAGTTTAGATTGGGTATAAGGAGGAAATTCTTTCCTGTGAGGGTGGTGAGGCACTGGAATGGGTTGCCCAAGGAGGTTGTGAATGCTCCATCCCTGGCAGTGTTCAAGGCCAGGTTGGACAGAGCTTTGGATGATATGGGTTAGTGTGAGGTGTCCCTGCCCATGGCAGGAAGGTTGGAAACTGATGATCTTGAGGTCATTTCCAACCCAAACCATTCTATGATTCTATGATCTTATGATCCTATGAAATGTACTCCGGAGTTTCAAAAGAGGGGTTCAATGGCTTATTCCCAAAGAAATGAAAATTTAATGGTAGACCCCCACCCTTGTTTAAAGACAGCCTAGGGATCATGATATGTGCCACCATTTACACCTGCAGGGTAACTAGAAGTAAAGCCCAGGCATACTATTTCTCTACTGTGGGTAAGGGAAAGCACATGAAGGATAAAGAAAGAATTATGTTTTGGAGAGGATGTTATCTGCAGAGATCACTACATCTTCATCCCTTTTCAAATATTTCTATCTTACTGAATTAGGGCTACATATAATATGTATCTGGTGTCTTTTATCAAAACTGCATTCATTCCCTTTCAGAATCTGAAGCATCTTTCATAATTCAAGCATGGTGTACCATAGCTTCTTGCTTGGAAAATACCACTCAAATGCTTGAGAAGAGCAGCTAAATTAAGCCTTCAAAGTGTGTTTGCTTATTATAACAATATTGTTAATATTGAGAATGGCTGCTTGGTGAAAATAAAATACAGATGTATAAACACACTGAGGATAGAAGAGATGCATTGCAAACTGTTAGCCTGGAATTTATGTAAGAACAATTTGCACAGGGTAGATAATTGTGTCTTTATAGTAAGTAATGTTCAAGCTGAAAAGGCTGCTCAATTGACTAGGTTTTGGGGACCTTTTTCCTGTTTCTGTCTCTAATTTCTCACACACAGATTTAGTCACTGTAAGTGACAAAAGGTTTTGCCTGGGCTTAAGCATCAGCCACCAGCACAGCATACAACAAACCATTAAAATGTGTCTACACAGTGTTATGAACAGGCCTGTGAGGCAGGACCTTTGGTCAAGAAGGATGTGTAGTAGATGGAAGCAGTTACTGAGTCCTTTCTACTAAGTGAGCAAGAAGGGAAGCTACTAACTGGAGACAAAACGACACAGAACTTTGTAAGTAAAATTTTTGAAGTAGCAATTATAATTATCTAATGATAACAGAATAATTGCTGTCACCTGATCTTGGTTTCTTTGAGACCTCTTTAAAATGATTAGTATCAGAAGTCACAGCTACTCGTTATACTGTGGGCCAAGGTAGTACTATCTCCTAACTTCTTGCAGTGACATCAGAGCCCAGTAGAATGACTGCTCTGCCTCAGTGCCCATGAAAAGAAGTGAGGAAAAACAGTTAAATTTGTACATACAGTGCCAGTTCATGTTGAAGAAGTTCATGTGAACTTGAACGAGGCTTTTGATGGCAAATATGAAAAAACACAAAGGAATCCATCCCAGCAGCTCTTGCATTACCTGCTTCGTAGGTGGTGGCGTGTGCAGTCATGCTCCAGGTGCTGGACCGCCGGCCTTTGGTGACCATGACAGAGAACTCGTACATGGTGTTCGGCTTCAGGCCAATCACAGTGTGGCTCAGAGCAGTCGTATCTGCCGACTGCAAAGAGAGAGAGTGGAGAACATCTTTAAAGACACTCTTTCTGCTGGTAGCTAAACAAAACACGGTTACAGAGGATTCCCTTTTCAAGCAAAATAGCTCTAATGCTGCTGCACACCTTAACGGGAACATTTTTAGTACCATAAGCAGTTGAGTAAATTATTGTGATGCTTTCTCTTTGCCTATTCCCACATACAGCAATTTGCTGTGCCTTGTTTTCTGCATGTAAATTGGAAGCTAACCCTGTGTCTTACATCTGTGTCTGTAGGAGGACAAAGATGGCAATATTTTCATAAATAAAACATGCTTTTTCATCCTCTTTGATAGGTTCCTGCTAAAAAAAAGTTTTAATTGCTGATTTTTCTGATTTTCGCTGATTTTTAGTGGAGGTTCAGAAAATATTCTTATGCCAAGAATGGTCCTTACTAAGGCTCCCCAGTTTCTAAAGTTAACATGTATTTATGATAAAGATCAAAATATGACCAGAACTGCTGCATAAAGTTGCATTTTTGTATTCACAAAACACACTTTTTCTTGGTTAAATACAACATGTTTATACATTATATTCTATTTGAAACATACGATTGATCTGTCTCCCTGTGATATGTTATCAACAACTAAACGTATCGATGTTGATGTGAATATTAAATTGTTCATTTATTTTTAGCTCATTTAGCTTTGTACCTCAGCCTGCAGCAAGGAGCAATTTGAGCTCAAACTAGTGTCAGAGAAGACAAGTGAGAAGAAAATTATCAGACAAATTGGTGGCAATTGGGTAAAATCAATTCCCACGCTCTTCAGTTACAGAGCCTGGTGTGCAATCCTCCAACATCCACAACTTATAGGACAGTGAGTAAATGTTGAACACATTTTTACCTGTTTATATACCTGTAGACTAAAGTTAGCTGAGTCAGGACAAAATACACATGACTTTTGATCAGGAGAATACCTTGATGTTCACATTTGAGAAGCGGCTCACAAGTAGGAGCTTTCTGGCATGCACCAGTAATGCCATTCTGTTGCTAATCATCAGATGATTCAAAGATCAATCGGCCTTTACTGAAAACGGGACATCATGTTTCCACCACACCACAGAATAAAGCAGAAATATTCAAGCAGGGTTTGTGTGTGAGAGAAATTTACTTAGCAGAGACACTAATTCAGAGCAGCCCTGTGGAGAAGGGCTTGGGGGTGTTGGTTGGTGAGAGACTTAACATGAGCCGGCTTCAGTGTGTGCTCGCAGCTCGGAAAGCCAACCATATCCTGGGCTGCATCAAAAGGAGCGTGACCAGCAGGTTGAAGGAGGTGATCCTGCCCCTTTATTCTTCTCTCATGAGACCTCACTTGGAGCATTGTGTGCAGTTCTGGTGTCCTCAACATAAAAAGGACATGGGACTGTTGGAACAAGTCCAGAGGAGGCCACGAGAATGATCAGGGGCTGGAGCACCTCCCATATGAAGACAGGCTGAAAAAGTTGGGGCTGTTCATCCTGGAGAAGAGAAGGCTGCATGGAGACCTCATAGCAGCCTTCCAGTATCTGAAGGGGGCATATAGGGATGCTGGGGATGGACTCTTCATTAGGGATTGTAGTGACAGGACAAAGGGTAACGGGCTAAAACTTAAACAGGGGAAGTTTAGATTGGATTTAAGGAGGAAGTTCTTTAATGTTAAGGTGCTAAGGCACTGGAATGGGTTGCCCAAGGCGGTCATGAATGCTCCATCCCTGGCAGTGTTCAAGGCCAGGCTGGACAGAGCCTTGGGTGCCATGGTTTAGTGTGAGGTGTCCCTGCCCATGGCAGGGGGGTTGGAACTTGATGATTTTAAGCTCCTTTCCAACCCTAACTATTCTATGATTCTATGATGTTATGATTAATGGCTATATTTGCCTACATGGTACACTATTTTTCCACAAGTGCTCTGGCATGTTTTGCAAGCTACTTGATAGGAAGACTTAATGCAGCACCATGTTTTATCATCTTTTTACTCAATTAATACTCCTAGTTCTTGGAAATCAGCAAGTTTACAACTTATCTGTACTAAGGGTTTACTCCAGCAGAGAATTTCCCTCTGATAAAAGTCTTATTGAAGCAAGGAGATCACTTAAAAGCATTCATAGACTATTCAGGCGAACTATTCGGCCATTTGCCAGAGATAGCAAAATCTACCTGCTGGAGGTTATACAAATTATTATTTGAATAAAGCTGGATTTTAACATAGAGAAAAATAATTTTCTCCCCCAGAAAATATTCTGCAAGAAAGAAAATGATTTACAGTGTAAAATACTCCTCAGCATGACTGAGCATCACTAAAACTGGTTGCTATCACTGTAGAAGTCCTTAGACACTACAGTCAGGAAAAACTCACATGGAAAGAAACAATAGCGTTTGAACCTATTCCTGGACAAAATAGCCTTTAGTGGAACATAATGACATTGGGTTATTTTTTGTGAAAGGAAAGTTATTTGTCTCCAGCTGCATGTTTTTCTTTGACTCTTTTGCTCAGTACTAAATATTAACATTTCAACAGTAGAAACATCCTTGAAGTTAGTATCAGATTGAGATGAAGGGGGTGTAACTGTAGCAAGTACCTTTAGTAATACCACTGGATAGCTGTTTGGGACAGTTTGCACAAAGTAAAGTTGTCAGGGTAAAGTTAAATTTATAAACTTCCCGCTTCCATTAGAAAGACTAAACCCTTCATTATGTTTAGATACATGGTTCTGAAGTGGTGGGAGACTTTAATGGGAAAATCTCAAAAGACTTGGAAATTCAATGCCAAAGAACAGGCAAGTGCTATGGGAACCTAATTGGGAGCCTAATCCAAACCCCTCTGAAGAAGGGAAGTTTTCTCCACAGTTTTCAAAGAATAACATAATAGGGTTTCATCAGTTTCCTTGAAAAATGTGGTTATTTCAGGAAAACAGACCCTCTTGAAAGATTTTTGATTGTTTCTGCTTTTGGGTGATAGAACTGGAATGAAAGAATCAGACCGGCTCTTTACACATTAAGCAAAGACTGCCCAAGCTAGAGATGGTGGCAAAAAAAGTGACTTAACTCTTGCTCCTCTTTAGTCTTGTGTATCTGAACACCTTCCAGAGCCCTGTGTGGGGTTTGTGAGAGATGTCCACCTGCTTGATTAGCAGAAGGCTATTGAGCTTGATACCTCCAAACAGACATGCTTCTCCTAAACACTGGATTAAATGGGCTGGTTTTGATCATTTTTATTTGTCACCCACTGTCTTCCCGTGCATGCAGCTCACTACACGCATTGGGAAACTAGAGAAAATGTTATGACTGACTGTGAGTGGCAAAATATGATGCTGTTTTTTTTCTGGAGCTTTGAGTTCATCACTAGAGCTGCAAACTGGGACTCACTGTGCTTCCCGTGCTATTCTCCTCTGTTTGCTGGGCATGGAAATTCATCTCTAAATAGGAGATGAAGCAAGGTAAGGCATTCAAAGCATTGCAATGCATCATTTTGGCACCCTTAATTACTTACAAGCTCGTTACAATTGCATGAGCATACAAAATTTGTGTCCAGTATTGCAGGTCACCATGTCAGCATCTGAAGTTGCCTTAAGTATGGCAGTAGATAGAAAAGCAAGGTATGGACTTTTATGCCTTGTAAAGATGTACTGCTATTTAAAGCTTTACAGGGGTCAGCACCTTCAGCAAAAATCCAACTGGCCTGAGTGGCCTTTCCAGCTGGCGTGAAGGCAAATCAGATGTAATGAAATTGAAATGAATAGTTTGTGGCAGCACACGGACTCAGCCAAACACCAGTGAGCCAGATTCTGGTGAAGCCATATCCTGGGAGAGCTGAAAAAAGTCACACTCAGAAAAGGGATTGAAGGCAAAAGCTTCTCCATCATCAATCCCACGTCTTCCAATCTGGATTGATCTCAAGATAAATCTGTAGGAGAGGTGTATCCCAAACCTGAAAAAGGTGGAGAGCCATTCTCTGGGGTTTAGAAAGGCCAGCCTCTATTCAGACACATCACTCAGGCTGTAATCAGAACAGCCTTAGTGCTGAATAGAGCATGGCCTTGTTCCACAATCTTGTAAAAACAACTTGTATGAGGCTGCTTTTGTTAGGACAGAGAACAGTGAAAATACGGCATCCACTTGCAGTATAAAAATACATCCATAGCAAACAACTCACTATGGATCAATATGGTCCTTTAGGCAAGGGAAAACAACTATTATGGTAGGGCAAGGGAGGAATGACACACTTATCATGGGGAAGGTGGATGCTATATGAGATGCAATATTTAAGCTGAAAACAGGGGGGATATATAGCTTACTGTTCAAACCCAAGCAAACCAAAAAGCCTGAAGTCTATGCTTGCTCTTTTACATTCCCTGCCCTACCATATCTCTTTGCTGCGTGTGGTACTGCTTTCGGTGCTGCTTTCGTTAGGACTTGAAATTACCATACAGTAGCATGCTTCTGCCAATCCGTTCAAATTGTGTTTTCTCATAAACTAGCCTTCATTTTCTGCTACTTGGAATATGCAATATGGGTGGGTGGAATTGTCATACAGTGTGGGTGGGTTTGCAGTTGGTATTTCTTCCTATTCACACTACACTATTGTGCTCCTAAATCTGTGACTAATTTATGTCTGATTGGTGAAGATTAAAGATCAAAACTTCCAACAATTGGCATGCAGAATTAAACTATGGCGCTCATCCAACTAAACACGTGGGTTTCTAGGGAGCAGTACTTACTCAGGCAAGTTTCCTTTTAATTGAAATGGGAGATTTGGTCGAGGAAAGTTCATAAAAGCCAATTCAGAGTCCTTGCAAACAAAACACGAACAGATGAAATAGCTCATAAATTCGTAACGTGTTAAAATTTCACCTTATACTTAGCATTTGTTGAATAGCTTGTTCTCCATCGGACCGTGTAGAAGCGAACCTCCGTTGTCTTTTGGTTCTTTGGGACAGAGTTATCTGCCCAGATGACCCTCACTGCATCATGCGTAAGTACAACAGCCTGGACACCTACTGGTGGGAGCATGGGGGTGGAGATATCTGGGACTGAGGTAGGGAAATCATCAAGCAAAGGATAAAAATCAACTTCTAATGGATCAATGGGGTCTGGGTCCATACATCAGCAAATGAGCATTCCAAATTAAATGAATAGGTAAGTTAAACAAAGAAAAAGAACAAACAAAAGAAAACAAAAATCAAACAGCCACCAAGGGGCACACATCACAATGGGTTAAATGCATGGCATTAATGAGGAGGAGGAACATGAGGAGAACAGAAAGAAAGGCATTAATGCAAAATGAGAACTCATCAGCAACATTTCAGTCATATCACTACAACAAAACTAAGCAGCGCTAAGTTCTATTTTCCATGACTTGTTTAAATACTTTGAGGTATGCTGTGTTTTCTTCGCACAAGATGAAGTCAATGCACAGTGTTTCTTCTACAGTCTCTTAAAAAAATCGAATCATGTAAACAGCACATTATTGGAAACACTACAAAGTGGACATCGTGTCAAACTTCCAGCCTGATCTATAGACATGACATACCCTCACATGTTTAGAAGTCACCCATGATTTTCTCTATTGGCAGCCTGTTTCGGGCTCTTCTGTTGATTTAACTTTTTGAAAGGAACATATTCTGCATCTGCATAAGCACTTTTAGGCAAAACAGAACATGAAAATGTCACTGCTGAAAGTGCTGAAGTTAAAACCTTGCAGCTGTTTAATACTGTCAGTGTGCTTAACGTGCGCATATAGGCATCAAGGCGTGGATTATCTTCAAGTAGGCTTCCTCCTTAAGGAAGAAGCACACTTCCTCTCTGATGTGTCTGTGACGGAGTGGTCTTTGGGGAGCAAGATGCTGAGCACCAAGCACATGCCTCAGTGGTGCATTATGCAGTGTCAGAAGACATTTCTGGCTTAATTATCGAGGCAGTGCCATATTCAGTTTCACTTCCAAAAGTTCAGGCCTTTTGAGTGCCGTGCTGACACATTCAGTTAACTGAGGCTGTTGAGATCACTGTGGCCATGCTTCTCTTTCTACTTCATTGCAAAGGAGGTTACTCTAAGCCTGAGTTGTGAAGGTGTGAGACAGGAAACAGATGTTGGGTCAGCAGAAGGTTACTGCTGCTGCAGCCAGCAGATAACAACCACCAACAGTGTAGAGGATTTTTCTTCTGATCAGCGTTCAGTTTGGCCCCAATGACATTCATGCTCTTGGCTTCTCCAGGGATCTGTCTCTGCCCTTTGGAGCTGCATGGTGATGGCACCCATGTGGGAACCAGAGATTGCTTAAATCATAGAATCATAATAGAATGGTTTGGGTTGGAAGGGACCTTAAAGCTCACCCAGTTGCAACATCATGTCCCCTTCCACTAGACCAGGTTACTCAAAGCCCCATCCAACCTGGCCTTCAGCACTTTGCTGAAACATCTCTGTCCTTGTGGAAGCACCCAGCCATCTTCTGGCTTACCTTCAAATCCATACTTACTCATTATCTACCAGCTGTGATTTTTCTACATGCAATTTCAAAATGCTGTGGTAAAGTGCAGCAAAAGCACTCCAAAAGGTTGCTTGGTTTGTTTTTGGGTTTGTTTGTTTATTTATTTATTTATTTATTTTTCCTGTCTAAAATAATGTGCTAATTAATCAAAGCATAAACCGATCTAATGCTTCCTCATCAATAGTTACTATATTATTTCTGCTCTACGTGCAGTTGCAGCCCCTGACACTCTTTGATCACTCCATGTTTATGGTTTTGTAATTTTTAGTCAGAACTTTGGGAGGTTACAGCCTTCGAAAGGAAAAACCAAGGAGATAAGGATCGCTAAAATTTATAATAAGCCATTTAAACGATCTCATTGCGTTGCTTCCCTCATTCAAAGCTGCTTTATAGGAAGCTCTAATGTGAGTGTTGATGGAAATGAAGCGACTTTGTTGCTGTAGTGATTCAAAATGCAAAGGTGCGATCCACGTGGTGTGGAATGGGTCTTTTTTACCCCAATCTAGAGAATTGAGCTTCTGCAAGTTAACAGCTTCTTTTCCTGAAGTTTTCAAGAACTGGTGGTAAATTCTGAAAGGTGAGCAATACTTGTTTCTGTTTGGTTTATCTACAAAATCAGAAGTTGATGTGACTGGAGCTCAGTAGATGTTTTAGCAAATATCACACTTCCTTTTTCTTTTTCTTTCCCATACTGACAAATGCAGTCCTGCTGTAGAGAAGATTATGAAGACAGGCTGCGTTTAGCCACATAAAATGGTCAGACCCAATCAATCAAGATAATTCACTTTTTGAAACACATCGCCACTGACTTGTGGAAGAGGGAAATGTCTATAATCCAAGGGTGGCTAAAAATAGGCCCCTAAATACCACCTCAATTTTCCACCAAAGTTTCATTTGTTATTATTTATGCGTAGGCATCTGTCATTTGGTAATTGCAATCTCTTGACAGAAAATAGTTTTTTGCTCTCTTTGGCGTTCTTTTGTGAATATTGCATGTTATGTAACTGTAGTCTGCACATCATATCCACACCAGCAGGGACCAAAGTATGTCTATGCATATGCTAGATGGACACAGTTTTTTGTTTTCTTTAGTGCACAGGATGCATCAGCTCATTTGCTTCTTGGGGAACACAGTTCCTTGTACTTCCTTGCTTTGTTAAAAGCCTTTTTCGAGATGTTCCCCTGTGACCAGCCCCATCCAGTTTCTCCTTTTAGAGGCTTCATCCTTTGGGTGGGAGGTGGTGGGGATCTCCAGGCACAGACACATCCCAGCAATAAGAAAGAAGCACCGAGGTGGACTGTTTACAGATGATCATTGGGTCCATTCACCAAAACAGAACCCAATCCGGAATTACCTTTTTCACACCTGGGTATCATTTCATTTATGAGAGGTTATATACTGACATGAAATCAAATCCTGACTTTTGAATAGATTCAACTACCAAAAGCTTAAAAAACAAGACGTATATATGGATCCTAAGACAAACTCAGTGGAAAAAGGTTTTACAAGACACACATTCAGCAAGAATGACCTCTGTATATTCCACACAAGATTAATAATTTTCAGCCAGAAATTTCCTGACACTTATTATATCTAATGTGGCTTGTTACTGTTGCCCTTGATCGTGTAATTAATCTGTTTGTTTTATTTTTTCTTCTTCTGACTTTCCAAGATTTCTTATGGGAATACTTCACAAATATGGATAAAAGCTGTTTTTCCTTGTAGAGGCCCTGAAGCACCATTTGGTTGATTTATTCCTCGTGGTCCACCCAAGCCAGCGTCAGTGATCGGGTTTGCTCTCAGTGACACAGCTCCCATTCCAGGAGGCTCTGAACACCATGGGTGAAACACTGGAAAAAACCTTCACCAAATGATGGTGCCAATCAGAGGAAAAACATGTGTTTTGATCCCCCCCCCCCCATTTTTCTGTTTTCCCCTCTTAGTTCTGTTCTTGTAACCCCTCGTCAGTCCCATCAACCCACCACTGATGGCAGAAAAACCACATGGCAGACTGGAAGACAATACTACACAAGAATAACTCTGATTTTATAACTTCGCCAGCATCCCAAACATGCATCTGTGAAAAACAGCTGCTTGAAAGCAACCTGCTCTGCTGCTGCTGGGTAATCCCTTCTGTTAGCCTTATCCTGCCAGCGAAGTCCCATCAGTATGGTCTTCCACCTTCTGCAGCCCCTCTACATGCTTTTGTGGTTGTGCATGATGACAGTGTGCTTTTAACTAGTTAGTTTTAATTTAAACTGCTTTAAAAATGAAGGGTACAAAGATAATTTTGTCTGGGTTTAATTCAGTGAAGCTGTTGACCAGAATTCTGCCCTGACTTTTAAATATTTAAATCGTTTGGGAGTCATGCTTCTCACAAGCCAACTTGCACTAAAAAGCAAGCACTTCTGAGCATCCCATTAAATTTATACAGCCAGTTCGTGGAAAGGCTAATTAATTCTTTCTATCTATATAGTTACAATTAAGTGGAAAGCGAAGCTGATTTATTCTAGCAGGACATGGTGGTTGCTGAACTCGTTTCTTCCATTGCCTTGACCAAAATATGTTGTCCAGTGTGCACCTTTGTAAGGCTGGTGTTCGCTGATGGGGAGCAGATTATCTGCAACTCACCTGTCATTGACCTGGTGGTCGCACTTTCATACAGAGGCACCCCTTCTCCTGCATTGTTAAAGGCCTTCAAGGAAATCACATAGTGGGAGCTTGGCTCTGCAGGAGAAAACATATAAGGCAAAACAGATCACAAAATGTTAAAGTCAGATTTGGGATGCAGACCAGACAAGTGTTTTCCTGAAAACCAAGAAAAAAAGAAATGAAGTTAAGCAAACACCAGTGCAAAGCAAGCAATGAGTCCGATGGCTGCTCATAGTTTTTGTTTTCTTTCCAAAGGCTTTATTTATCTCAATATCCTGGGTTTATCTTCATCAATCGCAAGGTAAAGTTTTTCTTTAAACCACCTGCAGCTTTGCCTGTGTAGGAAAGCTGGAACCAACTTTGGGCATCAGCTGTAAGTCCAGAGGAAGCCCCAGATATGTGCAGAGCTACATGGAGGCGAGGGATTCTGTGGGTTGCCAATGCCTTCCCCAGGATGGACCTGGGATATCCAGGGTTGTGCCTGGTGCTGAACTCCAGCTGTCAGGAGGGGCATCCAGCCCTGTGCAGCCCCTCATGAGGATGTGCTGCTGCCTGGAAACGACGTGGGAAGAGACGGGTGAGTGCCACCAGCGATGCATTGCCTTGGAAAGCTGAAGTTCTGCAGTGAAGCACAGGTGTCCAGCTCTCCAGTGCTGCTTGCTGGAACTTGTGCTCCTGAAGCCACCCCAGAATAGGCCATGCAACCCTGCAGTCTATTCCTGGATGCTGAGCAAGAGCCTCCCTTCCTAATTTCACGATGTCAGAATTACAATGGTAGTAGGCATTTTATCCCTTTTTAACTCACGGACAGCTCCTCATGATATGTTAGCAATTATGAATCCCAGAATCCGAGATTGGTTTGGGTTGGAAGGGACCTTAAAACTCATTCATCTCCAGGACCGTGCCACGGGCAGGGACCCCTTCCACTGGAGCAGCTTGTTCCAAGCCCCTGTGTCCAACCTGGCCTTGAGCACTGCCAGGGATGGGGCAGCCACAGCTTCTCTGGGCACCCTGTGCCAGCGCCTCAGCACCCTCACAGGGAAGAGCTTCTGCCTAAGAGCTCAGCTCAGTCTCCCCTCGGGCAGGTTCAAGCCATTCCCCTTGGCCTGTCCCTACAGGCCCTTGTCCCAAGCCCCTCTCCAGGCTTCCTGCAGCCCCTTTAGGCACTCTAGCTGCTCTAAGGTCTCCCCTTCAGGAGCTTTCTCTTCTCCAGGCTGACCCAGCCCAGCTCTCTCAGCTGGAGAACCTCTCCAAAGAAGGAGGTGGCAGGAAATAAATAACACACAGGAATTAGCTTCATGGGTTCATGGACACGCTGTGCTGGTTTGTGTGTCCTAGTTTACTATGGGGCTACTCTTAATGTATCCCTAAATGAAAATAAAGTGAAATCTGCATGTCAGCACCACGTTGTTTTTTTTCTATTCTTTTCTGAGGAAAAAAAGGCAATCCATTTTCCTGTCTTTATTCATGTAATTCGCTTCATCCCCCCCTTCCCCCCCATTTCAAGCTGTTAATTCTATTTGCGCAGGATAAAATCACAGCGGAATAGACAGGGCTCTCATATACCTGCCAAAGATGAGAACTGCCTCCTCGAAGTTCTTTACTGAAAAATAACAAATGTTTGTATGAGAGGAGGCATTTATTAACATGACATTCCGAAAGACCTACCGCAAAATTACATATTTTATCTACATTAGCACCAAATCAGCCCAGCATGATTAATACCGTTACAGTGAATCTGAAATGAGTAAATAATCTTTAAGTACTTATTGCATATTGTTACTAATATTCTTTCTACCCATGTATTTTGTATTTGGTTTTGTGTTCGGAAGAAACAGTGACATATTTGTTTAATATTCAGGTGGCTTCTGTGCTTCTATTGTAAAACAGCTAAACTTTAAAAATTGCCAAATGAAGGACCAGTACATTAATAACTCCCTGCGCTAAGTGCAGTACAGTTATTAATTCAGCTGTTACTCACTGTAATATCATTAGTCATAAAGAAATTGTTTTGTATTCACAGAGATGTAGTATACATTTTCATCTGATTTCCACTTGGTATTAGCATACTACTTTTAATTTCTAATTTAACTAAAGTGTTGTAACTCTCCAGATTCCACATGAAGATTTATTTATTGAGACACGAAGTCATTATTTAGCTGAGTTTAATAATGGCACATTCAGGAGTTTCTGAAGAAGAGATAGGCTTTCATAAGCACAGTCTTGACTGACTCCATCTCTCCCTCCTACCCAGCTGTTGTGCCTATTTATGAGTTTTGAGAGATGTGACAGAGCGATGTAAGGTATTAATACAGACCACTCACTAAGGTACACTGTGAGAAATGTAGAGAATACAAAAAAAAGGAAAAAAGGAGGTTTTAGGGCTTTGAGATGCGCCAGCTGTTTGTTATTACCAGCAGTGAGCTAAGTGACTATACTGAAAAGGACACCTAGGGACAGACAGCAGTTCAATCTTAGTGTTTTCTGTAAGTTAGACACACGGTTTAGTTAATAGGGGCTGTCCTTATAGCAGTTGAAGGGACAAGCACTTCCGTCAAACAGTTTATCCCATGCTAAGATAGATAATTAAGGAATAGAAGATGAATTGTCCTCTAGGGGTTGGTACATATCTCCACTAATAACGACCAAAGCATGAATGTCTGGACTTCACTTGGTTTAAATTTGAATAATGAGACATTAGCCAGAGAAGAATGTTACCCTGAACGCTAACTTTTTAAATGTGAAAGATTACTCAAGAAACCTGATTCTAGAAATTACTGTCCAAGTCCCCAAAGCCCCATAGGACTGTCATGTCTAATCAAAATACATTGTGAATTCCCCAATAATGAATAAGCAAAATGAGTGATTTACTATTAATTTGATCATGAAAAATATACTTACAGAAACTGACAAATCAGGTGGAAAAATGTGATGAGTTCATGGAAAATTTAAAAATGGAGACTATATAGCACATACTTCATTATAACTGCCCATATAGCACAATGTATAGTTCATCAAATTTTATAAATCTAACAGACTGACATATGATATATGTTTATAACTGGGTTGGGTAAGGTTACATTTGCAAAAATGAGGTAAGATTAGGGTGAGGATGTGATCTGTCGCTTTCTGTTGAAAACAGAGAAATTTCAGGTGCTCAATTTGAGCTGCTGCTAACTGGAACAATAAATAATTGCTCGAGTCCCTCTTAGATAATCCGGAAAAAGACAATTTGCCATTGTACAGTGTTTGAACACAGTACCGGAGTTTCCTATAGTCCAATACAATGAAAAAGTGAGAAAAACATTAATTTTCTAATGTGGCAGTTACTTTTTGAACTGCATTGTATATTAATAGTACTCATAAGGTCATTCTGGTGCCCTTCTTAGGAAAATGCCACTGACTGGAGAGGGAGTCTGAATTGAGGAAAGCATTTTAGTGTAAACCTCCTAATAAATGAAGCAGCTAATGGAACAGGAGGTTTGTTAACGCTCCTGGCAGAAACAATGCAAAGAAACAAAGAAACACAGGGTTTAGAGGTAACAATATCATAGAATCCCAGACTGGTTTGTACTGGAAGGAATATTAAATCTCATCCAGTTCCAACCTGTGCCACGGGCAGGGACCCCTTCCACTGGAGCAGCTTGCTCCAAGCCCCTGTGTCCAACCTGGCCTTGAACACTGCCAGGGATGAAGCATCTACAACTTCTTTGTGCAACCTGTTCCTGTCTCTCACCACCCCCATACTGACAAATCTTTTCCTAATGTCCAATCTAAGTCTCCCCTCTGTCAGCCTCAACCCATTCCCTCAGTTAACAACATTTCCGGTTGCAAGAATCCAGAGGTAAGTCCTGAATTTTTCTCCACTCATCACAGATAGGAACTCAACTCTATAATAAGGATATTACCATTTGTATTTGCTATTCTGGGCAGAATTATATACTTTTTTTTAATTTTTTTTTATTTTTTATTTCCTGGCAGAAGACATCTCTTCTTGCCTTTGAAAACGCTGAGCAAAGAAGTCAGCATTAGCCAACAACTGCCATGTCAGTGTTGGTGTAGAAAATGCTCCAGAAATCAAGTTGTATTCTGCAGTTCAACTTAAAAAACCCCAAAGGACAAAAAGTTCAAACTAAGCATGAACAAAATCAATCTTTTTCTACTGACAACTGTTACTGGAAGGAAAATAATCAACAAATACCAACTCATTGAAGATACCACAGTTATTCTTCAACAGGGCAAAATTGTGACGTCTCTACAGCCCTTACATGGTGTCTTCTGAAAAACGTTGAGTTTTCATGCATATTTTAAATTTTCTTTTAAATATAAATATGAAATAAAAGCTTGACAACCAAATGTGAACTCCAGCCCAAGGAAAGCTCCTTACCTTAAAGTGCAGTTTTGGACAGAGGGTGACATACTCAGCTGATTTTGCAGATCAGCTCATTTCTTTCTCAGACAAAAATTCATTCTCAAGTCCCGTTCTCACTTCCCAGTATAACAATTACATGACACAAGGGACCTGCAGAGTGCTTGACAAATCGGTACCCTGGGAATGCTGAACATAAGCTGAGCTCTCCTGACCACCAGGAAAACATTCGATCCCATCTCACCACCTAGCGCAACTGTCTTAAACTTAAAAACATCTGGATTTTTTCAGACACAAAGTAGCTAATAAAACAGCAATAAAAATAAGTTCTATGTCCATCAATCCCCTCCTAATGCCTTTGTCAGGGCCTTTCCTGATCATAAACAGAAGTGAACTTCCAGGACATGGAACTGTTGGAACAAGTCTAGAGGAGGCCACGAGGATGATCAGGGGACTGGAGCACCTCCTGTATGGAGATTGGCTGAGAAAGTTGGGACTGTTCAGCCTGGAGAAGAGAAGGCTGTGTGGAGACCTCATAACAGCCTTCCCATATCTGAAGGGAGCCTATAATAGGGATGCTGGGGAGGGACTCTTCATTAGGGACTGCAGTGACAGGACAAGGGGTAATGGGTTAAACTTAAACAGGGGAAGTTTAGATTGGATATAAGGAAGAAGTTCTTTACTGTAAGGGTGGTGAAGCACTGGA